TTCAGCTCTCAATTAACCGGAAAACCTAGAACCGCAGCTGCCGTAGTATGTCAGGCGACCTCCGAGGAGTCCTCTGCCGCGACCTCGTCCCAGCTCAAGGCTTTCTCCGCCGCGCTCGCTCTGTCGTCGATCATCCTCTCCGCGCCGGTGCTGCCGGCGTCCGCCGACATATCGGGGCTGACGCCGTGCAAGGAGTCGAAGCAGTTCGCAAAGCGCGAGAAGCAGGAGATTAAGAAGCTCGAGTCGTCGCTCAAGCTGTACGCCCCCGACAGCGCCCCCGCCCTCGCCATCCAGGCCACCATCGAGAAGACCAAGCGCAGGTATGCATTTTTCGGCTTCATTTTTCTGTTTTGGTCTGTTGTTGAATTTCTGAAAATCAGAAATGGTTGAATGTGCGTGAATTGTGGAACTTTCATCTCTCCACCGTTTGTATGAATGTGTGTGATTAGTTCTGCCGACATAAATGATCTAAAGATCTCAGATTATCTGTTATTCTGTGCAACTGTTCTGTGACCACATTGCTTAAATTTGAGAAAAGCAACCATCAGATTTTCACTGGTGTCAAAATCTTGTATCCAGTGACTGGTTGAATTAGTAATTAGCCTTTTTCGATATCGGGCGTTTTGCTCGTAAATTTTTCATTGCCCGTATTTTGTTGCTCCACATTTGACTAATCTGTAACCTACTGTGATAATATGATTCATGTATATGAAATTTGGACCTTCCATGAGTCTATAAATCAAGAAATTTTTTTTTATTTCAGTGAGTAAATCAGTATTCATTCTCATGGTATGTGATGTGTGATTCTTGGAAGTTTTCATCAAGAAAAGATGATGGATCTTTGTATTCCAATTTTAACAAGTGATTGCTTGAAAATACTTGTAATTGATTTTGGAAAGAAAACGAAATCCTAAAAAAAAAAAAAAATTGCTTCTCATGTCTCTGTTATATAGGTTTGATAACTACGGCAAACAGGGCCTTTTGTGCGGTTCGGATGGTCTCCCTCACCTGATCGTGAGCGGTGACCAGCGGCACTGGGGTGAGTTCATAACTCCGGGCATATTGTTCTTGTACATTGCCGGATGGATCGGGTGGGTTGGCCGGAGCTACTTAATCGCCATTAGAGATGAGAAAAAACCAACAATGAAGGAGATTATAATCGACGTGCCACTTGCCAATAAGCTCGTCTGGAGAGGCTTCAGCTGGCCTGTTGCTGCCTACAGGGAGTACTTGAATGGGGAGCTTATCGACCCCAATGTCTGAAAAAGTTGCAGGTATTATTATATATATATATGAAGTTTGATATTGATTTTTTCGTTTTCTATGGGATTGTTTGATGACTGGAACTTTTGTTGTTCTTAAGTTGTTTGGTTGTTTTTTCGTGCAGGTATGAGGATTTGGGTATGAATGGAAAGAGGGGATTGTGAAATTGTTTGTATCAACGAAAACTTTCATCGTGTACGTGATGCTTTTGTTTGTACCTAAGAAAACTGAGAGTGAAGGGCTTTTATAATTCCTTGTTCTTGATATCAATTCATTTTTTTTTTTTTCTTTTTGGCTTGATAAAAATTGGAAACTAAGCTCGTGGACGTAATGAAAATGAGAATACAAGAACCATATTTGCAGAAACAACCATTGAGATTATCTAATTGCACATAGTTGAGTTTCTTTATTTATTTTTTCGTCTTAGACTTGTAAGCGACTAGACAAAGAACACTCCAAATACTGGTGTCAATTGTACAAGGAAGTATTGAGAATAAATCTCACTGTTGCATGGATGTTCTTGTAAGCGCACAGTTTCAAGTCCCTCTCAGCTACTTCAAGTATGCAAATGGCATCACTGTAAATTTTAGAGCATAAACTGCATTTATTTGCAATGAGATGATAGAATTTTCTGATTTTGTAGCAGGCGCCCGAAGTTACTGGTTTTCCGAGCAACATATGCTTTATGTTAAATTATCAACCATGTTTCATTATAAGGAATCAGTTGTTAAGCAAATACAACTTTTCAATATTTCAAATATTGTTATTGTCATGCATTTACCCTCAATAAAAAAAAATCTACACTTCAATCAATGTCCTCCCTCGAATCCCAATCCCTCAACCGGTCCACAGACACCTTCACGATATTCACGTATAGATCGAATTCGTTGACCCTGTTCCCAATGTGGCCCGGGTCGAACGAACCCTCACAAAACTCTCCCCTGCACCCTTCCAACTCCTGTTGAGTATCCTCAATCTGTATCGGAATATTCTCATAATCCCCCGATCCCAAGTTCGTCTTGGCCAGGTTCAGATTTCGAACAGCATCGTTATAATTCTTCGAGCACGATAAGTATTTCTCTTTAAGTTCGTCGTTTTTCGAGTCCTCATGGTACCCGTTGAGCTCGTCGTGTATCTCGTTGGCCCTTGATATTGCTAGGTCGAGCAACACGTCTGTTATGCAATCAGGATCCGTGTCTTTAAACCGGCTGATCTCGGGCTCGATTATGTGCCAGCACACTTTGGAGTCGTCTGTTTGTGAGCAGAGGTCCTTGAGCTCACGGTTTAGATCGTCCGGTATGTATTCGGGCTCATCTCGTTCACGGTGGTGGTGCTTGTGCTTGTGTTTGTGTTTACGGGCAAGCGAAGGGGAAATCGAGACGGAGAGAATGAGGGCAATGAGGATTGTTTGTAGGGGAGAAAATGCCATTTTTTTT